AGTAGTAGTAGGTAGTAGAGAGAGAGAGAGAGAGAGAGAGAGAGAGAGAGAGAGAGAGATTGCATTGACAGCTGCTTGATGTTCAGAAATGAGTACCGTTGCGAAGATAGCCGGCGTAGCAAGTGCAGGTATGATGTTATTCATGGGCATCAAGAAGGCCTATTCAGCCTACCATGGCAATGAACAAGAGGAGGAGGGGAAGACGATGAAAAAGCCAGGGGAAGATGGACGCATGCTCCGCAGAGATTTTGAAGAAAACCCTAAAGACTATTTCCTTGATCATCGACGCCGACAAAAGCTCGAAAAAACTGTTAGAATGAATGAAACCAAATGAAAATTAGCAACAAGGTGGATTAGGGTTGAGGAAGTGGTTTACCGGTTTAGCTCAGGATTAAGTAAGTGCTTTGGTTTTTTGTGGTGTTGGTGTTTATATTTCCCTCTAGCACGAGGATGGTGGTGTTTTTATTTCATGTTTTTCCCGATCTTCTTCCTAATGGTATGAAGTTATGAACCAATGTAGTGGTGGGACCTTTAGTTTTCATCTCTCTCTAATGGAAAGTGTTTATATGTGTGTGAGGCCTTAATCAATCAAATTAATGGGGACCTCAAAATATTCACTAGAAGAGGTTTTTTTTATGCTTAAAAATCTTCAAATCAATTATTTCGACCTCAGGAGGTATGGATCTGAAAACAAATGGATTTTTATGTCTCAGTGTATCTTGTTATATATTTCTTGGACTTTCAATTTTCAAGATATGCATGTACTCAAAGATCCGCTCAATCTACATTATTTTTAAAACTCTAAATTTCTATAATTAGAATTAAAAATACTTTTTCAAGCTATCACAATGATTTTTAGTATTGAAATTCACACTATTTGAAGGTGTGCCTTATTTTGATTATTTAGGGCCTTAGCTTTATATAAACCACACCCCTAATATGTTGTCGAATGTTGTTGTTGGTATGTTTCTCTTTTGCAATTAAATTAAGGGATTATATAATAGAAGACCCTCTATCTTTAGAATAAAGTGGTCACAACTATTCCTAGACATCAAATGTTAAATTGGACAACTTTAAGTATGTCATAGAGTTGAACAAATTTCTTTGAACTTTGAGCAAGAGTAATTACATAATCTCAGCCAGAAAAAATTTCTTTGAACTTTCAGCATGAGTAATTATGTAATCTCATCCTTTCGATTTCAAATCAAAAAGTTAAAAATGACTGCGAACTTCTTACACAAAAGATAAATGGTCTTATTATATAAATTTTCTTAAATTAAACATCATATTTGTCATGATATATCTTGTGGCTTCTTTCTCATATGAGATTAAGAAATAACACCTAAGGGCACGTTTGATCTTTAGAATATTGTCGCAACTTTAAAGCTTGATGGATTTACCCCTTTATCAATTTGTTTCAAGCAATATTTTAAAATCTGGACTGGTAGAAGGATCATTTACCTACATATTTGTTTCATATCATTCGATCAGTGATATGAAATCAATACAAATCCATGATCTAGAGAAATAATAGAAAATAAATGAAATAAAATAAGAACACAATTAGCATGCCACCAGCCCACATATTGTAGAAATGCGGGCTTGGCAATAAATATAGTTTGATCTTAACTTTAAGAGAATATATAATCTTTAACTTGGAGATCATGAATATGAAAAATTAAATATATTTTGAAAACTAAAAATAATAATTATGTTAAGAAAACATTTGCACCGCTAGTTAAAATTGTTTTTAGACCACTTATATGCATCCATCTTTTAGATTGATGCTTTATACCTCTAGACTGCATATTGTAGAAATGTGGTCCAACCCGCATGAAACATTTGTTCCTAAAATAAAATTTAAAATAACGATTTACATGGTAGGGATTGAGAGGGGATCTAATAAAATATTAAAAAAAGCTTAAAGAAAGGAAGTATATATATATATATATATATATATATGTAAGGGGGCATTAGGGAGAACATAATGGGCACCCATACATCCTAGACCTAGTTCAATTCCTACCACTTCCCATCTAGAACGATGATCCGTATCGGAAATTGTTGAGTTTTAAAACAGTAGTTCCAAAAATCGATTTGCGGTGCTAGGGTCTCCTAAAATTTACCTTAAGATTTCTAAAATCCATTTTAGTTATGGATTTTTGATATAAATTCTAAATCTTAAAATTGAGTATTAGATCTTTATTGTTTTAGATGGTTCACATTATTCTTTTAAATAATATATTTTATGGTTTAAATTCTATGCTTTCATGATTCATGATCATCAAAGCCATAACCGTAAATCCATAATCCATAATATTTGGAAAGGGTCGCATAAGAATATAAACGCACTAATTTTTTTTGCTTTGTTCAATAATTAAAAATTAATGTAAGGATTGTATAAGGTGTCGTCTTTATATTGTAGAACAGTAGAAGTAAGGCACGCCTCTAAATTTGTTCGAAGATGTAGTTTCCTTGTTGAAAACCGTATGATGGCTTAAAAATCTATTATTGTCCCTAGTTATAAAATTTAAATTTAAAAAGTAGTACAAATCAAGCATATGTATAAACAGATCTAAAAAAACTAGAAAATCTTGAAAATAAATATTCCACATAATTTTTTATAAGATGGACTATTTTTAATACTTAAAATTATTATTTTTTCATATCCAAGATTGATCAAATGGGAGGGTCTTCCAACATCAGAACACTCTCTTCTAAATGATTTTTGAGATGCATTTCAATAATATAAAATTAACATCTTATCTAAACGTTTTCATTATTTTCGAACCTCTTTAAAATTTCTCAAGTATCAAGCCTAGGGCCTTTTAGAGAGAAAGTATTCTTAAACTTCTAGAGAGACACTATTATAAATTTTAGAAAGAGAAACGGTCAAAAAACAATTTAGAGAGAGAAATATCTTGATTTTTAGATAGAGAAACTATTTCAAATTTTGAGTTTTAAAGAGAAACTATCTCGAATTTTTATTTTAAAAAGAGAAAATATATAAAATTTTGGAAATATAAATTATATCAAATTTTAGAGAGAGAAACTACTAAAAACATTTTAGAGATAGAAATTATCTTAAAATTTTTGGAGAGAGAAACTATCGTAAAATTTATGTTTTAGAGGGAGAAAGTATAATAAAATTTTAGAGAGATAAACTATATCAAATTTTAAATAGAGAAAGTACATGAAATTTTTAGAAAGAGAAAGTATCTCAAATTTTAATCTTTAGATAGAGAAAGTATATCAAAGTTTAGGGAGACACTATATGAAATACTAAGGAGAGAAACTATTTCAAAATTTTAGCGAGAAAAACTATCTCAAACTTGAAGTTTTAGAGAGAGAAAGCATCGTTAAATTTAAGAGCGTAATTACATCAAATTTTAGAGAGAGAAAATACATAAAAAATTTTAGAAAAATAAATTATCTCAAAACTTTTAGAGAGAATATATCTCAAATTTTAGCCTTTCAAAAAAGAAATTATCTTAAAATTTGAGAGAAAAACTATCATATTTTAGAGAGAGAAACTACTTAAAAATGTTTAGAGAGAGAAACTATCTCAAAATTATTAAAGAAGGTAACTGATACAAATTGATGCTCTGATACCAATTGATGCAGAGAGAAAATAACATTCGAAAAATAAAAAAAAAATGTCAAGAGAATATACCATCTCTCAAGGTCTGAGAAGGAATCCACCCCAAAAATATCTTTACAAGACCGAATTTTATTAACTCATTCACTACTTTACAATAAAGAAAAATCTCCCTTTAAATACACTAAAAAAATAAAAAAGGTACATAAACAACTGACTTTTCTATTTTATCTCCCTTAACCTATTTTATCTTATCTCTATCTTTCCTCTCTTAAATTCGCGTGCCACTCACGTTTTACTCATGGTTGAAAAGATAAACCCCCACGTTTTATCCAAAGCTATTGTTGAAAAGATAAACCCCATAGATCTAGCCTTATCCTATTTATACTCGTATTTTTTAGAAACTAACAAACCCCATTCACGAATAATTCATCACGTACAAAATCTTCCCCATTCCCCAATAATACATTAAGCACAAAATCTTCCCTCCTCCCAAATTAACTTGAAAGACAATTTCTATTAAAAAATAAAATAAAACTTAAACATCAATTTTCCTCCTCCCAAATTAACTTGACTTATCTTAGGACAATTTCTATTAAAAAATAAAATGAAAATTAAACCCCAATTTTATTTGCATGAGGAACTATCTCAAGTTTTAAGTTTTAGAGAGAGAGAGAGAGGAGAGAGAGAGAGAGAGAAT